ATCCCCAGTAGAGGGCGTGCAGGAGGCAGCTGATCAATGATTCTCTCTTATCATTGATGTTTCTATCTCCCTCTCCCCCTCTCCCTTCCTCTCTGAAATAATCGGGGGGGGGGGGGGGGGACTTAAGACCCACAGAGTCCCAGTGATGTCAAAGAACAGGTGTGAGTGGAATGCAGGCAGTGGTGTGCAGGAACCAGCTCACACCAGCTAATGAGAGACATCATCCAAGCAGAGCAGAAACTGAATGAATAAGCCCTGTGACAAAGACTCCTGATTGTCCCCCGCCAGCCACTCTCCCCCTCACTCTCACAGCATGACCCCCCTCCAGTTTTTAGCTGGGTACATGGCTACACTTCCCAGCTTCCTGTGCAGTTACCCATGGTCCTGTGACTATCTTCTGGCCAGCATAATGTGAGCAGAAGCTATGTCCACAACTTGTGGGTCTCACTCTTAAAGGAATAGGGAAAGTCATTCCTGGCCCCCACTTCTTCCCTTCCTGTGGGCTGGGACGTAGACACAGCGGCCAGGCATCTTAGACCTCGCCCATGAGGGCGACACCTGAAGGGTGGCAGAACAACCTAGAAGGAACTTAGACTTGCAAGAACTTCACAGAGCAGAGCCACCAGTTCAACCCCGACTCTTCCAAGAGAGAAATAAACTTTCTATCCTGGTTGTTTAAGTTACTGCTGTGTTGGGTGTCTAGCCCATCCAGCCCATCTTATAACCCACCTACGACAAACCTCAAAGGAGTAGGGGGTGGCTCCGAATATGGAAGTGAACAGACCATTCCCAAGTGGGGCTCAGGAGCGAGCATTCTCCACTTGAGGGAGCATCATGGGAAGTGGGATCTTCAGGGAAGAGGCAGATCAGGCCAGGAGGCAAAGCAGTTCAGGCACAAGCTGAAGCCACAAAAATCGATGTGCACATCAGGGTATGTCTCCTGATGTCAAAAGCACACGAGAGGCAGCTTGAAGGGACTCCTACTGGCCAAATTTGGGTAATTTTTAAGGATAGAAAAATTTACTTGCACTAACCGGTTTGGCTCAGTGGATAGAGCATAGGCCTGCGGACTGAAGGGTCCCGGGTTCGATTCCGGTCAGGGGCGTGTACCTTGGTTGCAGGTACATCCCCAGTGGGGGGGGGGGCAGGAGGCAGCTGATTGGTGTTTCTCTCTCTTCGATGTTTCTGGCTCTCTATCTCTCTCCCTTCCTCGCTGTAAAAAATCAATAAAATATATTTTTAAAATTACTGGATAATTGAGACAGTAGGGGAAATTTGAATATGGGGTGTATTCTTGATAATAATATTATATCGATGCTAAATTTCTGGACTGTGATTTTGCAGTGTGGTTATTTAGGAGAACACTGACCTTTGGAGATACATGTGGAAGTATTTACATGTAGAACCTAAACTCAAATGTTTCATTAAAAAAAGTTTATAGCTATTGATAGAAGAAATGCGTCAAAATGATATTAATTAATGTAGGAAGGTAAAAATGTAAAACCAAAACAAATACAACAAAAAGGTGAGCTGGTACGGGAGGTTGTTTATTCAAAAAGAGGGTTCCAGGGGGCCCAGGGTCTGAGAGAGGAAGGGCTCTGCCACTTTACAAACCACCCTGTGTCTGCTTTTTCACCGGTCAAATTCGCATTAAAAAAAGTTTATAGCTATTGATAGAAGAAATGTGTCAAAATGACATTAATTAATGTAGGAAGGTAAAAATGTAAAACCAAAACAAATACAACAAAAAGGTGAGCTGGTACGGGAGGTTGTTTATTCAAAAAGAGGGTTCCAGGGGGCCCAGGGTCTGAGAGAGGAAGGGCTCTGCCACTTTACAAACCACCCTGTGTCTGCTTTTTCACCGGGGGGTCCTCAGTCCCCATTGCTGCCCCAGGCTCAGAACAGAGCTTTGCTCTAATAAATACCTGTGGAAGGTCCTGCAATTGGGCCCCATCCCCTCCACCCTGGAAAGAAAGGCTGATGGAACTCATAGCAGCGATTCAGTGGGATGTGCAGACAAGCCTGGTGACCCAACCCTCCTGGGTTTCCTCCTTCCTCACTCCTCACTCCTTAATCCTCGGGCATTTTAGCTCTGAAGTTAGATTTCCCTGTGGTTCTGCCCAAGGCCTTCTCCTGTCTCCCTCCCTCCCTCCTTAGGTGAGCCCCTTCACTCCCAAGGAGTATCTCCAGCCCCCTAACCCCCACCCCCACCACACACACACACACACACACACACACACACTCCAGACTCAGTCATATATGCTATTGCAACTGGACATCTACACTGGGATGAATTACAGCCACCTGAAGTCTCACATGTCCAAAATGGAACTCTCCAACTTCCCCCAGACCTGGTCCTCTTCAGTATTCCCACCTCAGTAAAGTGCACCCCTTACCTCCCCTCACTTCCTCACATCCAACCCATCTTGTAAGTTCTTCCTCCAGATGATAACCTGGACCGTCTCACCATTGCCCCTCACCTGACTGCTCCAGTAGCTCCCTAACTCTTCTCTCTCCTTGACCTTTGGCCCCCTGGTGTCCATCCTCCTCACAGAAGCCAGAGTAATCTTTTAAAACGTGTATCAGAGCAAGAAAAGAACTCCTTCTCTTGAGATTAAAATGCACCGTGGAGCCCTGGCTGGTTTGGCTCAGTGGATAGAGCGTCAGCCTGTGGACTGAAGGGTCCCGGGTTCGATTTCGGTTAGGGGCACATGCCTGGGTTAAGGGTTTGATCCCCAATGGGGGACGTGCAGGAGGCAGCCAATCAATGATTTTTCTCTCATCACTGATGTTTCTATCTCTCTTTCCCTCTCCCTTCCTCTCTGAAATCAATGAAGATATATATATATTTTTAAATGCACCATGGATATCCTATACCATCTGCCTGCCCCACCTCCCAGCCGCATCTCATCTCCTCACTCTGCTCACAGCAACCTTCTTGTCCAGCTCTCTGCATTACCCGGCTTCTCTTTTTCTGGAACATTCTCTCAACTATCTCCAAGGCTTCCTCTTTCTCATCTCAACTCCAACGTCCCCTTCCCAGATCTATATAAAGAAACCTGCCCTCCCCCTTAAATTTTAGACATTGTCTTCTTTGTTTATTGCCAGTTCTCTCCCTACCTCCCATCCCCCCACCCCACCTCCACCCCGTTCCCTAAGACCTGAAGCACCACACAGGTGGAGTTCACTGTGTCTCCAGTGTCTGTTAGGCCACTAGGTGCTCACAGTTGTTTGTTGAAAGAATTAATTTAAAGCCCTGGCTGGTGTTTTCCAGTGGTTAGAGCATCAACCCACAGACCAAAGGGTCTCAGGTTCAACCTGCCCGTACTGGAGCAACCAATCCATGTGACTCTCACATTTATGGTTCTCTCTCTCTCTCTCTCTCTCCCCCACTCCTCCCTCCCTTTCACTCTCTCTAAAAATCAATGGAAAAAATATCCTTGAGTGAGGGTTAAAAAAAAATTCCTTTCTGTTTATATCAACCAGACCTGGTTTCGGTTGCTGTGTGGTTCATTTTTAAAAAAATGTTTTTTTTAAAATTGATTTCGGAGAGGAAGGGAGAGGTAGAGAGAGATGGAAACATCCATGATGAGAGCGAATAACTGATTGGCTGCCTTCTGCACATCAGGGATGGAGTACGGATCCCGGACACGTGGCCTGGACCATTATCAAGGGACCCTTCAGTCCGCAGGCCGAGGCTCTATCCACTGAGCTAAACCAGCCAGGGCTGGTTCGTCATTTTTAAAACATTTGTCAGGGGCTACTGCATTATAGAAACTGGCCTCCAGCTCCCCTACAGCACCGTTGTCCTAAGGAGAGCAGGAGAGGGAGAGAGAGGTGCAGTGCAGGCTCGGGCTGGAGGGCGTGCAACCCGGACACATGGCCTGGACCATTATCAAGGGACCCTTCAGTGCCCAGGCCGAGGCTCTATCCACTGAGCCAAACCAGCCAGGGCTGGTTCGTCATTTTTAAAACACTTGTCAGAGGCTATTGCATTAGAGGAACTGGCCTCCAGCACCCCTACAGCACCGTTGTCCTAAGGAGAGCAAGAGAGGGAGAGAGAGGTGCAGTGCAGGCTCGGGCTGGAGGGCGGCTCAGCGGATGCGTGTGAGCGAGCGGTGGGTACAGCTGGGAAAGTAAACCCGAGGTGAGGGGCGCACGGAGAGCTCGCTTCCCGAGGCCGCGCACTTTGTGGGCTCACGGAGGGTACCTCTGGGCTGACGGTCGCCGGCTCCCGGGGTGCACAGCAGAGGGGTCCTCAGGTTCCTCTCCAGGACTC